GAAGATTGAGCGTAGTCGTAACTGTGTAAAGCGAGAATATCAAAGTTGTAGAACATACGTATTTAGCTAGAGAAAGAGAAAACAGAGCGAGTTAATGAAAGAGAGAGAGAGGGAGAGAGAGAGAGAGAGAGAGAGGGAGGGTACAGGAAGGTTGTAGCTCGCGGATAGGTAAAGATCGCTCGGGGCCGTCGGAGGAAGAGTGAGTCGAACATCGTGACGTCGTGACGTCTACGTGTATATATAAGAGACTACATTATGCCTTCCGACCTGTTGCTACCCCTCCTCACCCCGTCTGCCATTCTCTCAACCCCCTGTGTACCACCAAATGGAGCGTTCGTGCTCTCTTCGGCTCATTGAAAGCCTCCTATTCTCTCTCTCTCTCTCTCTCTCTCTCTCTCATTCTCTCATACATACATATATGTATACATGTATACACAGTTTCTATACTCTTCTATCTCTGGAACCACTATCTCTCTTTCTCTCTCTTTCCTCGTTCCATCTTATTCCTACCTTCGCATCGTATACGGTCTATTCGTCTATTTATCTCTTGTTTCATCTCTCTCTCTTTCTCTTTCCTTTTCTCTTTCTTTGTCTAGTAACTTTCACCCTTGCCGTTGGCAATCGAAGTCGATGTTCGACCCTTTTCCCTCAGGTACAACTAATATAATCCCTTCTCGATCTGACCCTTGACCCTTGCTCGCTTTTCCTTTCACGTTGTTACGTATTACGTTGAAGGAAATCAAGTAGGGAAAGAAACGTTCGTCATCGAATGTTCATCGTCTTTCTCTTTTAATTAATTAATCGATTTTTGTAATTAATAATTCAACAATACTCTGTCGAGAACAAATCGTTCAATTATTATTGCAATAATTATTAATGTCTGTTTTTCTTTTTTGTTTTCTAGCCTCGGGAGGGGGTGGTTCGATGTTGGTCCCTCCCGTGGCCCAAGGCGGGACGGGCGATCGTCCCGTGGGTGACGCGGGTGGCAGGGCCCAGCAGTCGTCCGGCCCTGCCGGGACAGCAACCCTATGGCCTCTTGCACCAGCGCAGCCCAATCAAGTTCCAAATCAACAGTCACAAGGAATACCACCCTTGGCTGCGACCCCTGCACCGGCGCACAATCAAGGTACACACCATTGGCACTTATTCTTAAATTCGATTAGTTTTTTAATTCGTGTAATTTAAAATGACGAAAAAAGAAGATAAAAAGAAAGACAATTGAATAATGTACAAGATAAATGACGTAAGATCAGAAAATTTGTTTTACAAAATTCAAAAATACAAACGTTGATGTTGATATTGGAAAATTGTTTTTCAAGATGAAAATTATGAGTATGCGATATTGTATTTAATTAAGTACCGATGCATAATATGCGATCGTTGTATTATCGCGTTCCTTTTCTTTAATAACGAATAAAAGCATTCCATAAATAAAACAAAAGTTTTTTAATTATGAAAATTCATTTTGAAATTCGCTTGTAGCATATAAGGGTTATATGGGAGTCGATAACACGTAGCCGAAATAGCTCAGTTGGGAGAGCGTTAGACTGAAGATCTAAATGTCCTCGGTTCAATCCCGGGTTTCGGCAGGGTTTTTTTTTTTTTTTTTTTTTTAATTTCACAATTCTTATCTCCTCTTTATCGCAATTTACGAAAAGTATATTTTATAACGAATTATAAACGATTGATAAAAATATAACCAAATTTCATAAAATTATATAACATATACGATAATCGAGACATCGTTTTACGTGGAAAATGGAAGACATATACGAGTTTACGCGAATATGTCTCGTTCGCGGAACCGCATTAAAATCTCGTTGAGCACATTTATATATATTACGATGTATCATACGTTATAATCGCGTGTCTCACGCGATACGTACCTGACGTAAGTGTAAATGTAAAAGTGTATTGTAACTTGAGCCAATGGCAATACATTTCGTTAGACCGGCAATATTATCGGTACTTTCTTCTAAAGTCATTCCAATCTTAAACGTGAAATATTTCTACTATGGTGCCTGCATACGTCATATCGTTGCATTGTTGCTCGTGTGTAAACGTGATTAGGATAAAATATACACCGGATATTGCGACGTTTTACAAAGAGCATGCGCAAAAGATTTCCGTGTTTGGAATAGGCGGATTGATAAGTTCAATTTAAAAGTGAAAGAAAAGGATCGTTCGGATAAATCATTGATTTTTTTTATCGATCTGTAACAAACTTATATCGTTTTCTTTTTTTATTTGTTTATTTATTTATATTTTTTTTATTAATATACAGATAACAGAATATCGATTGAGATATTAAAAAAAAAAAAAAAAAAAAAAAAAAAAAAACTTTTAATCCATAATCGAAAATATATCGATCTTTTTTATTCTATTCTACTTGTAATCAATCTTCGAAGAATTTCCCTTATGTGAGACAAGATTTTTCAACGGACCAAATTACATGACACACCACGTGTACATAGATTATATAAAACCATTCAATTTTAATTAAAATCAACATCAAACGTTATTCTATCTAATAATCGTTATATCGAAAATCGACAAAATTATTTCGTACTTTTCTTTTCTCTGAAGTTCTCAACTCTTTCGTTCATAATATAATTTACAATAGGAAAAGTTTGTCCGATGAATTATCTCCATTTTTCTGCATGATATATATATATATATATATATATATATATATATATATATATATATGAAAATAAAAAGAAAAACAAAGAAAAAGAAAGAAAGAAAGAAAGAAAGAAAGAAAGAAAGAAAAAAAGCAAGAAGAAAACAAAATTTATTTATACACGTATTAACGCATATATCGTATAGTGGCAAAATATATTTTCAATTGATTAGATGATTCTGTCTTGTGCGAGTTAAAACTGATAACGACGACGATAACGACGACAACGATGATAACGACAACGACAAGGATGACGAGGACAATTATTACTATTATTATTATTATTATTATTATTATTATTATTATTATTATTATTAATGTTGCAGGTGTGAGCCGTTACGGGTTGTACTCGTTATTTCCCGGGGGTGGCGGAGGTAGTTATGTCGCGGCCACTCCCGCCACCCCAGGGCCACCTACCCCCGCGCGCGCTTATCACGCAACAACGCATAAGGGTAAGTTTACAAAGACTTTCACCTTCTCTCGGTCTTATTCTCGTTTTATCTCTTGAATCGACGACATCGACCTCCTCGTTGTTTCTCTCTCTCTCTCTCTCTCTCTCTCTCTCTCTCTCTCTATCTCTTTCTCTCTCTTTGTCTTCACCCGTCCTTTTCCATCCACCAATTTCCCCTATCGCTCACCCCTACGCGAACGTTCGCTTGTCTCCATTTCTCATTCTATACTTCGCCTCCACGATTCTCCCGTCGTTCAGATTAGATTTATTCGCTCCCGGAAAATCTCTGACAGACTGTGAACGTTTCTCTCTTTCAAGTGCATACATCTTGCAAATCACCGGACAAAATAGTATCGTGCGTTAACTCATAGTCAGGATGTGAACCTTTTCTTTCTCTCTTTCTCTCTATGCTTCTATTTCTTCTTTTTCGCATTATATTGTTTCATTCGTATTTATCTTGACCATTGTGCCTTTTTGTTTTCTTCGAAACGAATTTGAATAATTCATTATTTTCCATTCAACTTTGTATATATTTTATACAATTATTATATATAAGCATATATATATATATATGTGCTCGAATAGAGATCGTTTCTAAAAACAAGATAAAATAATTTTTATTGATTCTGATTACAACGTTTGATATATAAACGATTTTGATTATTACGATATTTCCCTATTGTAACAATTATGATAAAATCGTGACGATAAGAATATCGAACTAATTTTGGCATTTTGTATGTAAATGTTATAACGTTTAAACGTACATCGAGTACAAATAACATAATTTCGACTTTAAATCCATTTTTTTTTTGTTTTATATGTCTCTCTGTCCTTGCGTACGTGCGTGTGTATCTTTTAATTTATATCAAAGGAAGAAACTTTTTTTCTTTTTTTTTTCTTTATTCATGAAAAATGACGAAAGACACAAACGTGTCTGTATGCCTTTTCTTTATATAAGTTATACTTCGTATAATCAAATGGTAGATCGTACGAATGATTCTTTTTTACGATATATATATATATATATATATATCTATATATATACATAGATATGTAACTTATGTTACCATACTCATCTTCATATGTATATCAGGGTGAGTTCGAAGTACACCTAATTTGAATTCGGTACCTTGCTAGCACGTGCGTATGGGTAAACACGCGATCGTTTATAATTGGCATCGCCGAGATGTAATCTAAATGAAATAATACGCACTTCGCGACATCGATTGTATATTACGGCCTGTGCGCCACCTGCTGCAGCTGCTTTCAAAAAAATGGGAAATATTTGTACATTGCCGGCATGTAGTAAAAGACTCGTTCGAGTCGCGAAATTGTGCCAATACAATAAGAATCTCTCGTGGTGATTTTACATAAAGATAATGAGAACGGAGGGAGTATTTTCGAAAAAAAAAAGAAAAAAAAAAAAGAAAAAAAAAATAGAAAAAAGAAAGAAACATTTCTTAGAATTTCTCTCGTAAAAGATCGAAAGATCGATTGGAAAATATGTACCTACTTCTTTCGCAAGAAGGGATCATTATAAATATAAATAATACATTGGATAATCATAGAATTTGAATGTGAATTTTTTTCTTCGTTAATTTTCTTTTCCTTTTTTTTTTTTTTTTATAATATATATATATATATATGTATATATATCATATATATAGTCGAGCAAACACAGGGCCATTTTAACAAGGAACATTACTACTACTTCTCGTCCATTTCGTGCAAGTTATTTCAAACGTACGAGCCACTCTCGCATCATCATTTAAGAGCGTCGAAAGGCCAAGTTATTCTAGAGGAGGTCAGTTCGTCTGGATATTTCGGGGTTTTTAGGTTTACGTAGGCGTTTCTAAAGCTTAC